ATTGAACAAATTAAAACAGTCTAGGGTTAATGCTTTTCTGTTTCATGGGACCTATCTTCAGTGGCCTGTTATTAAGATAGCACATTACTATGATTTATATACAATCTTTAACAGACATCGAAGGCTCCATTACATTTATAAAAGACGTGTATCCTCTCTCTTCTCCCGTAGTTTCATTGATTACTGGGTGCCAATTTCACCTGTCCGTTGCGTAGCGACATTCCCCCTCCTGATGCCGAAATCCTAAACCAGAAATCAAATTGTACCGGAATCAGTTAGAACGGGCTTAAAAACGAAGTCATCAGGCAAAATATCGACACAAACACTGTGTCAAAAAGAGATTTATTGTCGGGAGATAAATGAATTTTATGTAATTTATGAGATAAGAGTTATATATGATCAAGCAAAATGGATCATAGGATACATTAATGCACACCTATGTGAGTTAGATGTAAGTACATTTATTACATAGTACAGTGTATATAAGGAATATAGTCCTACATGTACATGTAGCTAGTATTACGAGGCGATGTTAATTTGATTACTCCTTGTTGACAGAGCTAGATTAAGAAACCATTTACTGAGAATCCTGTACACTGATCAAGATCTGTATTTACTTCCAGTAGTGTTTTGTGTACATCTGTTTAAATGATGCATATATAAGTTAAGTTTTATTAACAAGGAAGTTTTATGTTCATTTAAAGAATCTTTAAAAAGGAATATATAAGAATTGAAGTTTATACAAACATGCAATATGAGCTACCTTAAAATGAACCCAGACCTAGGAATCAGTGGACGAGTGAAGGTCCGGTAGAGTAATTCAGTCACAGATTAAATGTCTCTCACTGGATTTAAAATTTACACTCCCCCATTGATGGGAGCCAGATAATGCTAATTCTTAAGTTCAATAAATTAAAGTCCTATAATTGTTGAAAAATACCCTCAATTATTTTGTTTAAAAAGCCTTGAAAAGACTCGATAGATACAACTGACAGTTCCTTAACAACATTCGATTTTTTTTAAAGAATGAACGCACCCATAAACAGGCATCTGGCTTTTGTGGGCTTTAGTATCTTGTTTGAAATGTGTCTGTATACATGTAGACTCAATGCTGCTGAGACTGTTCCAAACCATTAACGGACTAGATTTCTACCAATCAGTAAGTATACGGTTAACCTTCCAATATATTGCCGTGTTACACCTATCATTGACAAACAACTTAATAACAACTTTTAATATACAAGGAGATTGTAACAGGGCCATTAATCTGCATTGATTTTGTTCAAGTGTCTTGCGTTTTTGGCCAGAGAATTAACTTGTTTATTTTATAATTGCAATAGACAACGCACTTTGCCAACTTTCCGTACTTGGAAATTGCCTTAAAATTGTAATGTCGTTACCTTATATCTTATATCAAATGTACATATACTGGCCACTTAGGTACAAATGTTCACATAATCAATATTATATAAAATAGTAAGACAAGTGCCTTTTTAAATTACTAAAAATATAGGGTGACAGAAAAGATATTGATCTACCTACAAAGGCACCAGACTTGTCGAAAAGTATTGTCACAGTATGAAAGTTCCTTAAACCACCGGGGTATCGAATTCCAAAGGCAGTCAAGGGAAGTGTGAAGACTTATAACGTGATATTTGTCCAGAGGATTAATTTGAAGACTATGAAATTCTTAATGAAAAAGTCGTTCATCAGTTGGCACGTGAAAAGTTTCCCCCTTTTTCAATTAAGGTTTTAGAGTAGCTACTTATCCTAGCATTGATGGATTGTAGATTTAGAACTCAGACCAGGGTTTTCATATAACAGGGTGGTACTTTCATTAATGTATATTGCTGTTTTCACTTGTTCTGGGGCCCATGCACACAAACTATGGATAGCTTATACGGATAGTGTACATGTATGTTTTAACTTACTTAGTATTTTAGGGGACAGTCAAATTTGTTATTATTTTAACTTAATGTGATCCTCAATCGACAGCCAAAAAAGGGCTGCTGCAACTGTTTTAAACTTTATCGACAGAGATATCTTATTTAGATCAGCTCAGTTGATCATTTTGGCTTGAAAAATTTAATGAAATATAAACGATATATCTCTATCGATAAAGTATATGATTTTTAAAAAGTTTTTCAAAACTGCAATTTTTATGTCTCATTTTGAAAAAGGTTTACTGCCAACGTGAGAAAAAGAAATAAATGTAAATTACTAAATAAGGGTTTACTGGGACCGAGCAATTATTGTTTGTCCAATTAAAGGCTGCGTGAAGAAATAAATAATGAATCTGTCTGTGGGCAATTTTAGGAACTTAATCTTTGTGGCTCATATTTCACGGAGAACTTTTTCTCAACTTTCCGTAAACAATTGTTAAAGTCCCTCTGTTCATCAAAGTACAATGTAGTCCATTGAGTTACGTGTCCCCATTTATTTTGGATTAAGACACATTCACAAAGTTCCATTCAGATTAGAAAAAGGCATCAATTATTTCAGAGCAGACATCCCAATGAGGGGGTCGGAATCCCCAACTGAAGATTAGGAGATTTGATTTCGGACACAGAAACAAAATGGCTTCCACATCAGCCGCCTACCGGATGCTGCGCAGTATGCAATTCAGACACGACTTCTTATTCGGGGATACATGTAAGTTCCACTACAGGCAATATTTTCTATTTTTTCTTTATTTTTATTTATTAAAGTATCATTGAGATCGGAATATACTTGAATTTACTTAGAAACTTAGAAACTTTTATGCAAGGCATAAGGCAAGCCATGTTATTAGGTCCATTGTTTCATAAGCAGCGCCAAAAGACAAAAATTAAACTTTGTCGAAAAAGAGGATGGTAACATTTGACAAGAATGAATAACCTTTCGATACTGCCGGGGGAGAAATGGGAAACGAAAAGGAATTAAAGGATCAACTGGCTTACCATTATATGGAGTGATTTCCTTAACTGGAGATGTTGAATGATGCAGTAAATCAACGAAGACTTTTGTCTTCTATATGACTATCTAAATCAACATACAGAAACGTTATCGATATCAACGAAGACCTGGATATATTTTCTTTTAACATTTTTAATTTTCTATCATTTCATGCGTATTGTCTTCCCACAAATTTTTATTAAAATAGAAAATTTGGTCATAACACCAAATTTTCTATTTTAATAAAAACTTGTGGGAATACAGTATATTGGATTCGAATGAAGGCCAACACAGTTTTGAACACTTAAGGAATCCTACCGATTACAACCTCGATATCACAAATCAAAACGCCAATTTATACTCTGGTTTTCGCAACCTTTTCCATGGTGTTTATTAGTGAACACTTTTTAAAAGATCGGGATTTAATGTGAAGAAAAAAAGAATCACTGTTGATAGTAACTTCTTTACCATTTATTCCTTTCTCATCCCTTGTTTTTCAGGGGAAAATTGTCATATTTTCCTCCGTCAGTTCATCACCTTTTGCACAGTATGTAATTTTAGGTACATGTTCATCTGATCTTCAAAACGTAATACTCTTATTATTTGTATTAAGACAGGTGATAAATTCTGACCTTGACCCTATATAAATAGCATCTGAAAGGTCAGGGTCATTGAAACCATTGATTAGATTTTAGTTCAAGGTCACACTTTGAAGGCTGAATTTATTGTAGTTCTAAGTTTCGTGACATGACCTTTGCCTGTGCAGGGCATTTTCAACAGGGATCAAAGTGATTTGATAAATCACAGGAAGTTTGTTTTATGCTAAATTCAATTTGATTTCTGTTTTTATGATTTCTGGGTAAAAAGGGAGGAATCAATTTAAAACTCGAGATGAATGAAAATTATTTCCTGGAATACTTTGCAACTTAAAAAAAAGATTACAGCTAAAAGTATTTATTAATGTTTCCTTGTAGTATAAAGATAGAAGGATGTAAAAGATGCCTTTGTCTTTCTCCGTCACCCACACGGTGGTTCTCCTACAAAGCTTTAAGTTCAATGTACGATGTTCAACACCCTAAAATATACTAATATAACATATGAGTTGTCTTTTGCTGTTCTTATCAATCCTTCAATTCAGTTAGGCAATGAATTTTGAGTTAGTATACGTAACTCACCGTCTGTCTAAACCATTTTTCAAATGAAGGAAAAACATTTAATTCAATAAAATGTTCGCGCTATAAAATATCTAGCTGACGTAGCCATTTCTCGTTAAGGCAGACTCTATCTTCATCTCATCCGAGTTGGTTACACAGGGGATGCATAACAGAGGATAATGAAGTAATGAACTCAATCAAATAGGGGGATATAGCAGCAATTTACTGTCGTAAAAAAGGATCATAAAAATAGCCAAGGGTTTCTGGCTACTCTCCTCATAAATATGAAGTCAAAAGACGGGATTAATTGTTTTACATGTGATCTCGAATATATCAGAAAGGGCGTCATCGCCAGAAATAAAGACCGTGTTAAAAAGCGAAGTTTTTTTAAAATTAAGAAGCAATAATTGAGTTATGTTTATTTATTATGTATAGAACAAATCAGAAGCTTCATTATAGATTCTTAATCACATATTTAGAAGATATTGGATGACACCATGGCTATTCATAGAATTGAATGTTATCTTACGGATCGTTGTTTACTTGCGTTTTTCATTTCCGAGATTGATGTATCCGACTTGGGTGTGTTCAGAACTCTGGAAAAAAAATTGAAGGCAGGAGATCTTCAGAAACCCTTGGCTAGAAGATACATTACAAATTAGGAATAACGGTTCGAGCTGTTTGGTAATACTGAAATTTTGAAAAGAATCAGATTGAGATAAAATCAGTCAACAAATCGAACAAACATGGTATTCAGTCATTTATTAAAAACGCGGATTGTGAGAAGCTTCTAGTCAAATGAATTTCCTTTTGAGTCCTGTCGAGGTTTAATACACCGCCCCCTCCGTAGGACGGTAATTGGAATTTGATCCCGGACACTAAATCTACCCTCCATATTACGGAAAGTGGCTCGTGTGGTTAGGTCCATAAATTTTTGACTACTCACACTTCACTCGTGTTTACTCACCACTTAACTATAACAGCTTCACGGATAAGTCTCCAGCGACCAGGCTCCCAAAACTTTTAACCAACTCGTGTTACAAGGACCTTTTTTATTATCAAATTAAACAATTTACCAAAGAGCCTTAAAATCTATGTCAACCTTGAAAACGGGTTTTACAGAGTGTGCCGGTGTTTAAATATTGTTAGATGAAGTGATTCTAAATATTAGAATTTAATCTGTTTTTATGATCAGCGGTGTAATTGCTTTGGCATGTTTGGGTGGCAGTTAATAAGAGAAATATGACGTGTTCTGGAGATCAATGGAACTGAATATTTTATACACCATCTCAGGTGTACATAAATATCCCTCGCCTCTCGACGATTTAGCCTGAATAACAAATTGTGTTTGCTCAATTTGGATTTTTGAGAGATAAATAGTTGCACGAAATGAGAAACTTATTATATGGATCGATATCGCTGGCAGATAAGTATTAATAAGTTTTTATCGATACTCAATCAGGCCATCTAAATAAATTGTTAATAAATACTTAACGTGCAGGAATTCGTCTCCACGATTTAAATTACCATATTTCTCCCTCGTTTTAATTTCGTTAATGTTATCGTCTAAATACAGGCAATGCAAACAGAAACTGATTAGAAAGCGCAAGAGAAATAAATTATAAAGACTGGTCACCCAGAATAACTCCGACTTGTTCAAATAAAATTTGAATTAAGCGTACCCATTCACTGAGTGGGTATATGTATTAGGTTTCTGATAATCAATAAGGATAGAATATTGAGTGGATTACTGCAATACGAGGGCTAATCCGGATCACTATGGGTTTGAAATGTTTAAATAATATACTTACATGTATGTAATCCGGGAGTGTACAATTAGAAGCAGTGCCAGGCAGGTGTCACTATAGCGTATATAGATTTCAACGAAACAAACAGAAACAAGGCAAATTTAGCGTGAGGATGATATTCTTGTGTTGATAAATAAGACGCTCATGAGGAATATTTTATCTTTTGTGAAATTTTAACTGAACAGGTTTAAATTTTAAAAATTCAGAATGAATGTCGGTAAAACTCGGCGTGCTTACCATAGTAATCTGAACCTTCCAAAAGCATTCACACAATATGACCTGATGCAATCGGGAAAAAGTATGTCCATGGAAGGATTAAATAGAAATCATACCACGCTTATAGACTCCAGTCGGCGGAAAAAGATGTCTAAGATACAGAAAACAGAGAGCAAAGAAACATTGCCTCTGTGTTTACCGAGGCTGGAACCCGAGGTCGATCTAGACCTTGATGTCGAGGCACGAGACGTTAGTGCCACAACAAGACTAGCATCTCAAATGGATTCAAACCCCAGAGGAACGACGGAACCGGAAGTCCGGACGGAACACGAGAGCGACAGTGATGAGTCGGACTACCTTAACGACTACAGAGATGACACGGAAACAGCTCATAAGAAGCTGGAACAAATCGGCGTCTTTGAGATGGAACATAACTGGTTATTACACGAGGGATTCGAACGTGAAAAAGAATTGTTTGTTACTAAAAGCAGAAAAATTAATATTGCTCTTCCAGATGAGAACCCAATTACAACCGTCAATAGCAGGATTGAGGAGGTGAACTCGATGGTAAAACCCAAGGCTGACATCGGCATGCTGCTAAAAAACATGAACCCCGAGCAACAAGAGAAAATCCGGGTAGGTTTTCAATGCATTTTCAATAAAAAGTACTTGGAAAGTCTGTAATTGAAATATTTTTGATATATAAACAGTTGTATTCTATATAATTCTGGTTTAAGGAAATGTTGATATATAAATCCCCCAAGCATGCCTAGTGTATCACACTTATTGAAAAAAGTTTTAGTCCTGTATATTCATATCCATTAACCCCATTGTTACAACGTCTAGACTTTTGAGTAAATTAATAAACATAATAACTAAATGTTCTGTTTTGTTTTCCAATTAATGCGGATTGATACTTTGAAGTTTTAAAATACAATCAACTACCTCCATAGGAAGATCAATAATTTTAGCAGTGCATTATAACAAAACAATTGGTAAAGAAAATGCCGTTTTGGAGAATAGCTAGGAAACTCACTTTAGAATTGTCAATAAATGATTACAATTAAATATATATTTTTTTAAAAAAGTATATGGCTGAATTGTAATTTTGATAGCTATTGGTCGTCTATGGCAACAATTGGAATCTATTGCCTCAGTACACTGTCTTCTCTTTTGTGGAAAACTAAATGGAAATTTAATTTTCATTCCAACAATTATTAAAGTTACATGTAGTTATCTCAAATAATGACATGCAAGGCATTGCTTTGCGTTTTACAGCCTTTTTTTCCTATGAATTTTTTTTAAACGACATGTTTTGTACAAACTTTTTAAAATTTATTTGAGAGCCTTTTCAGCAAAGGGAGCACACAATGAAGAATGTGCATAAATTATCGACATTTTTACGGCTTTTAATAATGTTCAGTATTTACATTTTCCGTATTGTCCAATTAAGAATTTAAATATTTGCTCTATGATAATTACTTAAGCGAGTTTTTCAAGAGATCGCTTCTTCATGTGTATAGCTGCACAGTTTTGAAAAGTTTTAGAAAAAATGTTAAAACCAGCAGGTTGTTTCTTTAGCCGCGTTGCATTTTCCCTTTTCAATGCCGAAAATTATTGTAATTTTTTGTATAGAAGTATCTTGCTTGTGTATTGATATAAGAGATTTTTATTGGATGTGGTTTCTTATTTTAAAACATTCCATTTGCTCAAGTGTTTGAAAGGACGGTTATCTTCAACATGTTGTAAATGTGTTCTAAATCAATACAATGTTAAATATTTGATCTGTAAACGCTCCAGAGGACAAGATCCCGATGAACTTTTTTGTCAGTAAATGGTTGTGATCATCAATACAGCATCAAGAGAATTTATTGTCTCTCTACAAGGCGGATGCAATATTTTAAAATAATGAACAAATGGTGGGAAATGTTAAGATATGAGAAGTTTAGGAAAACAGACAAGAAATAATCAATTAGTTTTATTGGACAGTTACAACGAACTAAATGAAAATGGAAAATAATTTATTAATACCTTGTAAAAAAAAAAAATAAATAAATAAACAAATTGATTCATTTTTATTTTACACACATTCCGCTATAACCAGTTATAATTCTCTGAAGTCTGTCTCATTTAAAGTTTGTTTTTTCATAAAAAAAATTCTTGTCATGTAGTTTTCCAATATTATTACGCATACACATGCGAGTAAATACAAATATTTTGCATTTTTATTACAGATTATTGCTGAAACCGATGTTGGAGACATCAGAAAGAGATTTAGGAAAAGTTGGAAGGTAATGTCAATTAATGATTAAATAAATAAAGAACTGTCTACTCCATGCATAAAACAGGCCTCTATCCTTACTTCACAGTGACCCTCTAGTTGTTCAAGTTCATTTATTTCACTCACACCAACATCAGTGGTACATGAGGTACAATATATAAATTAGTGGTCATAATTGTAAGAAAAATAATAAATATAGTTATGATACAACAGCATAAATGAGAGGCATAACATTTGTGCAAAGTATAACAATAAACATACAAAGAAAAAAGAATAAAAAAAGAGAAGGTATGGTAGCATTTGAATTATGGAGGACAGACGGTGTCATTTATTTTAGATATAAATATACAAAGGTTTTTTAAAGATTTTAAATTTGTCGTTGTCATAATTTCACAAAACTTAAGTGTATTTGGCGTTTTACAAAATCTGGATGTAAAATATTGTTTCTCATACTATTTAATATTTTACATTCTAAAATGAAATGAAATTCGTCTTCTCTTTGCACTGTATTATACAATTTACAAACTCTTTCACTCTAAAAAAAGTTTTACTTGTTGTTTTTAAAATAAGATATTATATTAAGAAAAACTAGTAATTATTAGTAATCCATTTAGTCAGAATAGCAAGTAAATGGCTATCATAGTTAGTAATTGTAAACATGATTAGTAATAAGGATGAATTCATTTACTTATAAAATGATTTACTAAGTATCAATAGAATTACTTATACCATAGGAATTGTATTACTTTAAGTTAGTAAATGAACTACTCATTTTTGTTAAATTATTATTACTTAATTTAGAGATAATATGCTTTCTATTTACTAAATTTTATGAATTATTACTAAGTAAATTTGTAATTCTGAAATTAATCAAAATCTAGAATATTTATTACTCAGAAGAATACTAAGTAAATGAAATACTTATCATATTTACTAAAATCGACATTATTTACTAGAAACACTGCAAGGTATCGACCCTCTAACATGTGAGTACTACTCACAGATTTCTTTATTTGAGTTCCCTAATTGGGCCCTCTGAATAGTTTAATAGAAGAAATCTACTTAAAACAATTATATTTTCTATTTCTTTTGCCAATTTCTTTGTAATTATTTTATTATATATAACAATAAAACATTTGATTCCAAATTCGAAAGCCTTATAAATTGAATAAGTTGTATCTTTTTAAGGACCATTTTAAAAATGGTTAAACATTTCAAGTACTTAATTTCGCATTTTTATTAGTGTGACTTTTTTTTCACATGAAGGTATATTTAGAAGAAAGATAACTCCTCCTCACAGACAATTAATGATTAGACTACCATATTTAAGTAAATACTGATCTGAATTCTCCTTGATTTAGTAAAAAATTTTTGTTTTAAGTAAATTAATTAATACAATTCAACAAGATGTGTTTGTGAAACACCTATGCCCCTGTATGGCAACATAGCAAAGGTTAAACTTTTCTTATATGCAAATTTAAATTATTGGGATTTCTTGAAATCTCCAAGGTCAAAAGGTCAAGGTTATTGGTATCTAATGAAAGGTCTTGCCACAAAAAATACATATGTGAAATGTGGAAACACTTGCCTCAACCCTTCAGAAGTTATGGTCAAGGTTACCAATTTTGAAATGTAGGTCAAACTCCAAGGTCAAGGACAAAGGGACAGATTTGGTGGTACCCTAAGAAAGGTAACTATGTGAAGTATGAATGCACTAACCCTTATCCTTTTAAAGATACAGTCAAGGTTTGCTTTTTAAAAGTGGGTCAAACTCCAAGGTCAAGGTCAAAGGGTCAAAGTTCTTGGAATCCTATGAATGGTCTTCTCAAAATGATTACATATATGTAAGTATGAAAACACTATTCCTTACCGTTCAAAAGTTATGGCCAAGGTTAAAGTTTTTTTTCACAAGGATGGAAATCTCCAGGGTCAAGGTCAAAATTTCATAGTTGTTGGTATTCAATGAATGTTCTTAGCTTTCAACAAAAAATATATATGTGAAGTATAAATGTCCTGGTATTTACTGTTCAAAAGATTTGGATAAAGAATAAGTTTGGATTTTTTGTGTATAAGTGAGTCAAACTTTAAGGTCAAGGTAAAATTTGGTGATACTCAGAGAAAGGTCTTGTTACAAGAAATACACGTGTGAAATATGAAAGTCATAGCTCCACTAAATCAAAAGTTATGGGCAAGGTTAAAGTTTCTGCAGATAAACAGACAAACATAGCGACAGCTAGACAGACAGACGGACACGACAAAAATTATATACCCCCGAAACTTCGTTTACGGGGGCATTAAATTATTAATTATATAGTAAATAGTGGTAAAATGTAAGTAAAGACCAAGTAATGTTATTACTTATATACGCAAATTTAAGTAAATATAAATTACAAAGTAAAACTTTTTAGTGTGTAAGTAAAACAATTCTTTAAAATACAAAAATCAAGTAAAACATTTGAATCTAGTAATTGACATATATTTCAGTAATTGATTTTAAATTTTAAGTAAATGCTTAGTAATTATCTATTACTTATCTTTGTTATTTCAAGTAAAAAATGACTACTAAGTAAAACTTTTTTAAGAGTGTTCATCTAATGGAATATTTGACCATCTACCAGTTTCAATTGGGAGGTGGTGGTTTGGGGTTCTAAATTTTATTAGTATTTTTTGGAGTTTACTAGGTAAGATACTTAGATATTTTTCACATCCAAAGTCACTCTTAAAAATTTTGTAAATTTGACCTTTTGATGAATTATTAATGTCACTATGCATTTTTTAATAAATTGATCTCTTAATCTTTGCTTCACTGCTGCAAGTACCCAATTTCTGTCAATAGAACTTTGTTCATACCAAATGTTAGAGAACCCACAAGAGGTTAAAATTTTATAAATGAAATTTACCCATGGGTTTTTTGGACCTCCTTGAAAATATTGAGCACATCGATATTTATACAAAACACAAACTATTTTGTTTTCTGAAGAATTCGGGATAAGCAATTTTAACCAGTAGGAGATCATTCTTGTAAAAATGATAATATACAAGGGAAATCTCATACACCTACCATATACGAGGGCGTACTACTCTACCACAAAAGATCATTTAACGATACTTTAGGCAGTTAAAAATAATGGCACTGTTTGTAACTGTATATATGTTTAATTTTTTTGTTTATCTAGGAAAATAATCAGTGATTATACACGATATACACCACATACTTAATCGTCTTTAATCCCATTTGATTGTGTAATCCATGTACGTAATTTAACAATGTACTCTACTAACTGTACATATGTTACTGAGGTGTATTATATAGCTCAATGGATGGAGTGAAGTATATAATATTACTTAATTAATAAAACTTATTGCAAATAATTCAAGGAAGCTTATGCCCTTCAAATGGCGTCGACGTTCCGGGTTAAAGTTTTTGGAGCATATTTATTTTCTTGTAACCCTTTTTGTCTATAATGATTAGGTTTTCTATGATGCTTCATCGCGAGTATTAGGTCTCAGATGCATTTAAGCCAAAAAAGAAAGACCAAGTTCATGTTCTTGAGCAGGTTAGATCAGTTTTAGGATGATTTGCAATTCTCCAGTTTCTGTCCTTATCTGAACCAAACTCGCAATGCCGATACAGCTGAGAATCCATAATACCAGTCATCCTGTCTGCCTACTCCCCAACTTGCATGGACAATGAATATACAAGGCTGTACATTATTAGTCTGGGTCTGACCTACATTTCCTGAACGAGTAACAAGGTTTAAGTTTTAAAGTAGGTCCATTCCAAAAAAATTTTAAGCAATACGGTGACCAAACTTGCATGGATGATGCTTCTTGGAATACGCCAATATCGGAATTTTCGTACGATACCTTGCCATATATACTTAGAGATAACATTCATCGAGGTGAGAATCATGTATTTTGATTGCACTTTTAAAACATTATAACATGGTGTAAAAAAAAAGTCCGAAAGAATCTAGAACATTCATGCTATATTATTTTTGAAAGAAATAATTCTTTGTATTTTTTAGCACCAATTTTTTCATAATACAATGCATTAAACATTATTTTTGATATACTACCATGTTTATCTTCTATTTCAGAATGAAGACAAACTTCACCACGCCTTGCTGATGATTCAGATAATGAACAAAGCCCATCTTCCGAGGCGGAAGTAAGTATATCACAATTTAGACGGGAATAAGTATTTCACATTGCAAAAGTGAGTGTATCACAAGGCGGAAGTAAAAATATCACATGGCGGAAGTAAATATAAACCAAGACAGAAGTAAAAAATATAACATGGCTGAAGTAAGTGTATCGCAAGGCAGAAATAAGTATACCACATGGCGGAAGTAACTTAAGTGTATCACAAGGCGGGAGTTAGTATTTCAACTGGCGGAAATGAGTATATCACTAGCCGAAAGTAAATAAATTACAAGACGGAAATGCGTATATCACATGGCAAAAGTAAACATAAACCAAGACATACAAGAAAACATTGATGTAACCATCAATTGTCGCCCGGGAATTATATAAAGTAAACAATGGAAATAAGTCTTGATCATCAAACCGCTTTGATATGTGTGAAAAGACATGCGTCTAATTGATGGAGACGATAGTGGCGGAAATGAAAACTCATAGTATAAAAATCAAAAATGATACAATTTTAAACTTGCTCAATTCCTCAAGTAAATGTTGGCTGCATAAAATATAAATTGAAGTTAGACACATGCATCCCCTATATTCAAAAATGTATTGTAATTTTCAATTTCCGAATATAAAACACGAACTGTGCAGAGTACGTTTTTATGCGAGAAGTAAAATTCGATGTTCTAAAAAAAGGGACATGTCATTTTTTCTATAGTAGATGATAAGTAATTTTTATATATGAAATATGAAAAACATACATATTTTTACAGATTCACTTTATGGAAGTAAATATATTATGTATCTCCTAATTTATAAAGGAAAGAACATTCTGATTAGCAATCTTTTCAATGTTTAGAAAACCTTTAATTCTGGATAACTACTCCCGCCCCAATCCCCATACACCAACACTTAAACTTATATGTATAGAGCAGCCCGGTCCTCCGGGCTGCAATAAAATGGCGGAAGTAAGTATATCACAGGGTCTATCCAAAACAATTGTTAAAATACCAGCAAGACCAACAGTGCTCAACATTCCTATTTTATGAACAAGACATATTGTCACCTTTATTAAATGCATGAAAACGGCGGGAATTTACAAAACCTTAATTTTGAACATGATTATAAAGAAGGTGACTGGATTATGTGTCTGTACAAAATTAGGTGGCGTAAACTTGTGAATTCAGTGTAATCTTTTGCAAGGTAATAAATCGTACTTTTGTAGATATTTCAAAGAAGAGAAGCCAGTTGCAGGAATGGCACTGAGGCGCCTTAAAGCTCAGGACCAGTCGGAGCAGGTGGAGGCGCCCCAGCGATCCTCGGTACGCATACTAGGATACGGTGATCATTTAGTTTCTATACCACTTACCTGTACTTTTTTTGTATTTTTCCCGCAGATTAGTCTTGAAATCGAGTGCTTGACATGTTTACTCATTTTTTTCCCATTAGCTGGCTTTTGATATGGAGTTAGCTCTGGTCACTCATCCAGCCTACAGGACGGAAGAGGACCTGGCAAAGGTAGATGACTCAAGGATTTAGTTGTTTGAATTAATAGAAAATAGCAAAGAAATCTTATTCATATAGGAAAATAATATTTTTCTATTTAATTTCTAGGTCATGTGGGTGCTACGGGCTACCAAAGCTTTCAATCATTTGTTTCCGGTAGAAAAAGAGAAAGATCTGGCGAGGGTGGTTGGATATGAGAAGTAATTGATACATTTATTTATAGCTGACTTGACATATTAACATTCCTATTCCTATAAGGGGTGTACGATAATAATTTTGCCTTTGAATGATAGGTACGACTCCAACAGAATCATGGCGTACCAAGGAAAGAAGCCAGAGAGATTTTACTATATTCTGACGGGAAAAGGTAGTGTCATTAAACATTTTGTTGAAACAAGTGAAATCTGTAAAGTTAATCATGTTAATATACAAACTTCCATGAAAGATCTTATTAGTTTTCATAATATTTGTAAGATTTAAATTTTGCGGTACAATCTTGCATTGATTTTACTGCAGTTTAAATTATAACTTGTTTGGAATTCTTTTTTGATATGACATTGTTACATGAAGATATTAAAGAACCTAGGAATAAACTTCAAGACTTGATTAGTCAACTGGAGCCTACAAAATATAAATCATTTGAAAGCTAAGCAAACAGAGAAAATAATACCACAATCCGCAAAGTACGGATTAAACGTAATAGATATATTTGTACATTACAGTACGGAAAGTGAGAGAGTACAGTTTATCCGAAGGAAAGGTCACTCGAACGGAAGGGCTGATCAACAAAGGAACGACAACTGATGTAAGTATACTGATGATCAATTAATTAACACAAAGAGGATGTCTTATTCTAATATGTAAAGACATTTTACTTAATTATTAAGATTGTTGTTTTCATATATAGGAAAGGGCTGAATAGAATACTGATTAACGAAAGATTTGAATACGGACGTAGATTATTCAATTTATCTAAAATTTATTGCTCCTGACCTTTTAGCTTAAACTATCAAAAGATGTCATTACAAAAAATAGGTACCTGATATTTTTGAAGTACTTTAATGGCTGTACTTAAATGCAGCCTGCATTGGTTTAGTTATTATCTGTACAATGTTTTAAACTCTATATCAAGCATTCCTTAGTTTTGAAACATAATTGTTGAAGTAACAACGAACTAAAAACAAATTCCTAAACAAAATCATTTCAAAAAGTTATTAAGAGCACTATTTTGAAATTCAGATGTACAAAATCATATTGTTTAGATTATTTTTTGATAAACTAACATTAATATTGAGTACCTCTACACTTCAAATCGATCATTCTTCAATGTATTTATCATCCAATGAACTGATGAATGTGTTCTGTTTGACAATTGCAATCTCTCCTGTTATCCTAAACATTCTCCATGCGTCACTGTATTTCTCTGGTGGTCTCCTGAAATTTGTCTTTCCTCTCTATATTCGACAAGAATTACGTTTCTCATATAGTCACCGGAATATTTTATGTGCGTCAACGTTCCCCTATTTTCGGCATGCACTGTATTTCTACTGTATTCCCTAGCTGCAATAATGTAGCCCTCTCCGATTTTTTATCTGATATTTTCTGGAGAGGGCTACAATTCCTCAGCATCTCCGTAATGGTGTAAAAATATTTTTCAAATACGGGCGACCACAGGCAGAATAAATTGTTTTTACAATCAACTTACTTCTAATAAGACGAAATTTTTATTTACTGTCGACATCATAGCTTGTTAAACGCGAAAACCATGTAAAATAAATCTGTGTGTTAACTTCAGCAGCCATGACAGTTCTTGCGTGACGTACTGAGACTTGCGCATGAAATTTAGAATAACTCAATACAGCAAATAAGGTAATTCCAAAGAAATCTGCTCCCTATAGATCCTTAATCTCATTGGCTGTCCCAAAATAAAATCTGTCAAGGTCAGTAAACATGGCGGATAAATTTAAGTTACGACGTTGACATACACGAAAAATACGGATAGATGGATTGTTCTGTATATTTTTGGATCGGTTTATGTCTGGCATAACTACATTTTGGAAGTTCAGGTAAGACGTATAAATAAAATAGTCGTTTACTGACAATTTGAGCTGAAATCCGTGCGGGAGTGAATCGCTCCCGCTTTGCACCATTACGGAGATCCTAAGGATTTGTAGCCCTCTCCCAAAAAAAGGGAGAGGGCTACATTATTGCAGCTACTGTATTCCCCTGAACATTTACCAATACTCACTATAATTTCTCTGTATTCCCCTGAACATTTTCTGTGCGTAACTGTATTTCTCTGTATTCCTCTGAACCTTTTGGAAGGGCACTGAAGTTCTCATGTATTTTCATGAACATTTTCTGTGCGTCACTGTTAATCCTCTGTATTTCCCTGATCATTTTCTTTGCGACACTATTTCTGTAAATTCCCCTGAACATTTTGGAAGGGCACTGGAGTTCTCCTGTAGTCTCCTGAACATTTTCTGTGCGACACTGTATTTCTCGGTATTCCCCTGAACATTTTGGGGCACTATAGTTCTCCTAGTCCCCTGAACATTTTCTGTGCGTCACTGTATTTTTCTGTATTCCCCTGAACATTTTGGAAGGGCACTGTAGTTCTCTTGTAGTCTCTTGAACATTTTCTGTGCGACACTATTTCTGTGAATTCCCCTGAACATTTTGGAATGGCACAGTAGTTCTTCTATAGTCTCCGGAAATTTTTTTGTGAGTCACTGTATTTCTCTGTATTCCTCTGAACATTTTGGAATGGCACTGTAGTTCTCCTGTAGTCTCCTTAACATTTTCTGTGCGTCACTGTATTTCTCTGTATTTCTCTGAACATTTTGAAAGGGCACTGTAGTTCTCCTGTCTCCTGTAGTCTCCTTAACATTTTCCGTGAGTCACTGTATTTCTCTGTATTCCTCTGAACATTTTGGAATGGAACTGTAGTTCTCCTGTAGTCTCCTGAACATTTTCTGTGCGACACTGTATTTCTCGGTATTCCCCTGAACATTTTGGGGCCCTACAGTTCTCCTAGTCCCCTGAACATTTTCTGTGAGTCACTGTATTTCTCTGTGTTCTCCTGAACATTTTGGGGCCCTATAGTTCTCCTAGTCCCCTGAACATTTTCTGTGCATCACTTTTTACTCTGTATTCCTCTGAACATTTTGGAAGGGCATTGTAGTTCTCCTGTAGTCTCCTGAATATTTTCTGTGAGTCAATGTATTTCTCTGTATTCCTCTGAACATTTTGGAATGGTACTGTAGTTCTCCTGTAGTCTCCTTAACATTTTTTGTGAGTCACTGTATTTCTCTGTATTCCTCTGAACATTTTGAAAGGGCACTGTAGTTCTCCTGAACATTTTCTGTGAGTCAATGTATTTCTCTGTATTCCTCTGAACATTTTGTAATGGCACTGCAGTTCTCTTTTACTCTCCTTAACATTTTCTGTGAGTCAGTGTATTTCTATTTATTTTATACCTAACGTGTATCACTCAATTTTACTGTAGAATTAACGGAATCACGTGACGTCTTGATCCGGTTTTCCGGATCACCACACTGTGGTTTTCTGAATCCACATCACCACTCTCTGAAACTGATGATATAGTACGCAAAAACATGACGTTATTTTTTTTTGCGCGTTAAAAAGTCCATTGTTATTATGCTTTGTTTATGGACAAATATTATACAATTGATCTCTAATGTTTTATTTTGCTATAATTAGCTAGTTATAAGGGGGTATATAATAAATTTATCATTATAACAGTAACTTGATCCGAAGAGCCGTATCACGTCTCGTTGACAGGCGCGGATCATCAGATCAAACTCGACGCTTCGCGTCTCGTTAGATCTGATGATCCGCGCCTGTCAACTCGACGTGATACGACCCTTCGGATCAAGTTACTGTTATAATAATATATATGTATTCCTCTGAACATTTTGGAAGGGCACTGTAGTTCTCCTGTATTCCCCTGAACACGTTCTGTGCGTCACAGTTAATCCTCTGTATTTCCCTGAACATTTTCTGTGCGTCATTGTATTTCTCTGCATTTCTCTGAACCTTTTGGAAGGGCACTGAAGTTCTGTATTTTCCTGAACATTTTCTGTGCGTCACTGTTAATCCTCTGTATTTCCCTGATCATTTTCTGTGCGACACTATTTCTCTGTATTGCTCTGAACATTTTGGAATGGCACTGTAGTTCTCCTGTAGTCTCCTTAACATTTTCTGTGAGTTAGTGTATTTCTCTGTATTCCTCTGAACAATTTGGAAGGGCACTGTAGTTCTCCTGTATTTCCCTGAACACGTTCTGTGCGTCACAGTTAATCCTCTGTATTTCCCTAAACATTTTCTGTGCGTCACTGTATTTCTCTGAACCTTTTGGAAGGGCACTGAAGTTCTCCTGTAGTCTCCTTAACATTTTCTGTGCGTCACTGTATTTCTCTGTATTCCCCTGAACATTTTGAAGGGCACTGTAGTTCTCCTGTAGTCTATTTAACATTTTCTGTGCGTCACTGTATTTCTCTGTATTCCTCTGAACATTTTGAAGGGCACTGTAGTTCTCCTGTAGTCTCCTTAACATTTTCTGTGCGTCATTGTATTTCTCTGTATTCCTCTGAACATTTTGAAGGGCACTGTAGTTTTCCTGTAGTCTCCTTAACATTTTCTGTGCGTCACTGTATTTCTCTGCATTCCCCTGAACATTTTGAAGGGCACTGTAGTTCTTCTGTAGTCTCCTGAACATTTTCTGTGCATCACTGTAAACCCATTTGTTTTCCTGGACATCACTGTAGGTAACTGAAATCATCTGTATTCTCTTAACATTCTCTGAAAGAGTGTTATTCGCTTTGAATTTAAAATTACCCTTTCGAACTGAAATCCACTGTAATTTTTTGAACATTCTCCGCTTCACTATAATTTTCTGTATTTCCCTGAACATTCTCTGTGTCCTTTGTTCATCTGAACATGTAGCTGTCATGATCCTCATGTTTTATGAATGCATTCTATTCATTACAGCAAAACCCTGTCCACCTCATCCCTTTGCGGTTTTCTGAAGTTTCACGTTTTTTTTAGGCATTCTCAATGCGTAGCTGTTATCCCCTTCCCTGAACATCTCTCTATTTGTCATATAAGCACCTAAATTCTCTAAGATTTCATTCTGCGCCACTTTTATATTCTGTTTTCCCCTGAACATTCTATGAGGTCAGTTTTTATTCCCTTGTTTACCTGAACATCCTTTGAGTGTTACTTTGATGCTTTCTGTGCGTCAGTGTAATCCCATTTCCCATGTCCCTATAATTACCCATTTCCACTTGCTTATTTTCTCACGTTACTGAAATGACAATTTCTTCTGAAAGATTTTATCTGTCACCGTATTTTAATCTTTTCCTTTGAATATCAGTATGCCTCACTGCAATTCTCTGTTTTTCCTTTAGTTAGAGGAGCTGGAGGAGCAGTGGTCACGTGAACACCACCTGGTGACGCAGGGCAATGTAGAGGTCCTCATTCTCCACAGATCAGTGAGTACATCAGTAGAATTAACAGTGATTTATATAGATTGTTACGGCAATTGAACAAGTCAGGCTTGTTGAAACAACTCTATTTTTTATTTGATGTTAATAAATACCTAAATTAAAAATATTTCAGGATTTGATGAGATTGCAAAACAAACTGGAAGGACCTCCTATTGAATACCTTAGGTAATTTTCTGAATTGTAATCAGCAAATGCGATTAAGAAAATTTAAATACTCTGTGGAGAGCATGTATGACACAGTACTTACTTTTTTTTCATCCTGTTTGCAAGACAATTATCTTTTATGTCTTTTTTAGGACATTGCAATTGTTCTATGAATTTCCGGTGGAAGTGTTTTTAACAAATACGGACGCAATCGAACTTAAATACTATGGGTAACTAAATTTTCCAATTCTTTGGTAGCTAATGTAAACCAAAACAAAATTTGATAAGAACAGTAATTTTCAAAAATTTAGATGCAGTTAATTTACTGTTATGCAAAAATACACATGTTAGAGGTCTTAGTTGTTTAAATCTAAAGGTATGATATATTTGGTTGTTATTTTAGTCAAGATGCAGTTATTTCCCATGATACCAATAGGACGCCCTGGATACATGTTGTCAAATCGGTATGTTACAGAAAGAAATTTTTAAAAAAGTTTTAAATATTAATCTCCTAAGTGACAACATAACAAAATATTTATATGAAATTTTTATAAATTTTTTAGGGTCGTGTTCGAGTTGTGCGCATGCAAACTGTCATTGATGTTCAAAATGAAAGTAAATTTGCCAATCAGAAAACAGAAGAGCTGGGATTGGGACGTACATTTAGTCACGCTGATGGTAACTATTCATGAATTAAAACAAAAATTGCTAAAATTCACCATTCATGCATTTGGCATAATTTTTCTCTATTTTTAAACCAATTGTACTTATAATTTAATTAAAAAGAATGCGTTGATGTCTTGCTGTCTACCATTTTTAGAGTGCTTAAATAATGATGAGTAGATCTAACTCGTTTTAACGTTTTCAGCAATGTTGGGGTCCCTGTTTTCACAACGTAAGGCAAAAGCCGAGCGGGGAGCGGATCAGATTTCTTTCCCAGAGGTGGGTATGAAACTATGAACACAATAAAATACAGAGGTTTTTATCAATCTTTTTTTTCAATGAACAAACGTAAAATCATAAGTTAAACAAAGAATTAGTAAATTAAACAATACCCTTTCAAAGACCGTACATTAAAAGAAAAGTGCTCTTTCTATAAACCCAGATGCCAGATTTCTTAAGAAGCCCGCTCGGACACACCCTCGGGGTTGACCTTAAATCTCTGTCCAAATTTAGTGCCAGGTCAACCCAGTTTTCTGAGGGAATCGGTCTTCTGTCTAACGTAAGACGGTGTTAAAGAAACTAACCCAGCGTGTTTATGATGAATGCATGGTTTGCCGTTCCTGATATGTGTACAGAATCTAACAAGATCATGAATGTGTAAAATTTTGCAGCTTCAGTCACCAACATTAATACCATTTTGAAGAAAAAAATCATTTCACTAACAACTGCCTTTGAAATATCTTTTAATTATAATATAGTTTGACAATCATTTTATCAGAATGGAAACATACCTCATTCCCTCTATATCATTTGTCCCCAGAGGAGACATATTTTGTTATGGCTGTCTTTGTGTTTATCCTTAAACCTTATCAAAACGATAACTTTGTAACTTTTATTTGAATTTATTTTGTTTGTTGTTACCCATGGCTTATTTGTTTACAGTGTATGTTCCGTAACCTTGACTCATGTTTGTATCTCAGAGATCAAGGACATTAGATTGAAAATTGGGGAAACAAATATTTTGTAAAGTGTAAAAATAATATATGATTCATTACATTGATTATAAATCAATCAGATACCTAATCTTCTTAAAGCTATTATTTCGAACGTTTGAGGTTGATGATATTCATTATTTAAAGTTGTGCTTAAGCTTATTACACAGTTACACGCAATGTTTTCCTTTTGCACGTAATTATCCTGTTTTCCGATGCTGTTTTTGGCAGAAAACAGACAATTAAATCAACTGATATCTGCATCTTTTAAGCTAGATCAGGCGACAAATTGTTATACAAAAAGCACAGGTTTCTCTTTACTTGTTAAAAAAGCATGTGATTTAATATACAGTATTCATAAGAATTTTGATAATATTGACAGTTAACAAAACGTCACAAAACGTCCGCTCAGACCGATAATAAAGCAGACAACAAGAGTGAAAGCTCGAAAGACAAAGACTCCGTCAAAGACAGCAAAGAAACCAAAACAGAGACCGTACAGCCTGTACCCGAAGGCCCCAGCAAAGCCAAGAGTATCAAAAGGAAGGCAAAGCTGATCAAAACGCCTATCATAGGTCTGTTAAACCTTGATTTATATATGTTGTATGTACATCTGTCAGGTCTGTTTTTTTCTATGAAGAGGCAAAACCAAACAAAAAAATTACAAACCAAAGACTCTAAATTTGTATTTCTGGTTTATTTTCAAATATATTTATAAAATTCTTTTCTTTTAGCTGAGCCTAAGACAGATGATCCTAAGAGCGGGAGGGGATCTAGAGCCGACATTGCACCTGAGCATTACGTCATAGAAGAGGAAACTCCGAGAGAAACGGTAGGTACTAAGTACATTAGAAATTATTACCCTCTTCGAAACAGGTCTTATAGTTTCTCAAGTACTGAATATTTGAAATTTCTTTTTCTAGACCTGCGTTTCCGATAGGTCGTCTTCTAATGGAACTGTATCGTTCCCGCCAATTAACGCTCTGCCGTCTGCCAGATCCTATGGAGAGAAATCTGCAACAAGTGAATTTCGACCACATGGGACGTTCCTTACACGAGAGAAGACTGAAGCTGAATCTGCTGTTTCTGCCAAAATCAGAAGAAAAAAGTGGAAGGAGCATACGCCCTGTCTACCTAAATTACGGTCCACGAAATTACAGCTTGACATCCTGACTGCTGGCGACATCTTTGTACGTATAACAACTCCAAAGCGCGTGAATTTGACGATTAATATTCATGAAACTCGCGATCACGTTTTAATTATTTTCCTTACTAAAAGATTAGTTAAGTGCCACACAGAGATGTTTTTAACAATCAGTCACGTAACTTGAAAACAATCCTGAGAAATTAATTTTTTCTCCAAGCAGAGTGATTTGAACACCTTTGTTTTTAGTCAACTAATGCAAATAACCTGTAAACACTTTTAGTTGCAGCAGTTAGACAGCACCAATAACGGACCAAAGGTTAATATTGAATATTGTGAGAGAGCTGTAGTTTCTTGCAGCTTTCCAGCAACATTTGTCTTTTTGTTGCTAGCTTTCTGACAACAGTCTTCTGTTGCCCACTTGTATCACCGTTTTTTACACAGCTTCACTAATATTGTGATCGATCACCGAACTTTTGTGTGTTGTGAATACTAATGAATTTGTATATTCACATGAAATCTAGGGTCTGGATGCCGTGGCCCGTAAATTCAGCAGTTTGTACCGTGACCCCTTTGGTGAGGTGAGATTGTACGGTAGATAATGTACCTATAGCTTATGCAGGAACATATACTTATATGTACTAGTTTAATGGGTTGCTATACTATCAGTATAGGATGGTTTCGTGATGAGTGGTTGTAAATTTTGTACTTGCAACACTTGTGTGAGAAGAGCCTGTTAATTTTTAGGACTCATTGCCTCTGCCAGTGGAGTTAGACATACGTTTTGATTCATTCATGTAAAGATTTTTTTCGCGAAGAACTAATGAAGGGAAGTCATCTGATGATATGTTTTATTCAGGGGAAGCCAACTCCTCCATGGTACTGATCCCACCTCTAGTGGTTTACTTGGCTCCAAAATGTGTATTGTTTAATGGACTTTTGAGATTGAATACTGTTCGTTACAGTATTTCCATAGATTTCATTTAGGCACATGTACATGCAGTCGCACATGGGGAATCGAAATATTTTCTTGTGATTATGTATACAATGCCTTGTCTATCTAATCTTTGTTGGGAAGATAAGGTATAAAAAGGAATATGACATGGCCTACATTCTTATTCCCCCTCCATATAGATCCCTTGGCGGAGGCATGCAGTCAAAGTTTTATTTCAATAGAACATAAAGCTAAACTTGAAAATAGTTTTCTAACAATTTTTACTAATTAAGGATTTCATCTTTCACTTACAACACTGCAAAAAAAAAAAGATATAGCAACATATCAACCGTAGATCTTGCACATGCATATTAATTGTAGCGAGAACACCAACACTTTGTAAATATAAAGCTATTTTTCTATGATCGACTCTACTTTTTGTACATATATATATATATAGTTGAGGGTGTATTAATTTTTTGTTATATATGCAGTAGACTAGTTATAACACATCACAGATGTCTATTTAGATAAATTTTGAACGTCGGATGAAGTTGTGTAAGGAGGTACATGATTAATATAAGAACATCAACTGAATAAGCATATTAACAAAACATGATTAAAAAAAGCTTCAATCAATACTAATCTATTATTATGAATTGTACAAAATTATCAGCAAAACAATCAATTTAGAAGTTAAGATACAGTAAATATTTATTTCATTACTATAGGATACATTTTCAAAATATGGGAAGAAAAATGAAATTTCAAAATTGAACTCTTCTCGTATAGGGTTTGGAACATTTAGATCCGCCTATCGCCTCGGAACCGAAAGGAGTCAGCCTGGTAAGCTAGCCTGCTTTAGCTCCGTGTAAACTACAATGTGTATCTTCACAATAAGTCCAAACAAGCTTACAAGTGACCAAATTAAACGAAAAAATATCGATACGATGTCGATGACTAATGATGTATGTTAACTTTGCTTACAGATAAGCGATGGTGCTGAAATCATCCGTATTAGTAAACGGTTTTTCCTACAGCACGCACAGAACAACACGATGTTACGAGTCGAGACTATGGTAAGTATTTATAAAGAACGACCGAACTGGTATTTAGGATATAGACTAACCAGATTTGTCGTTCTGTATGCTTACTGATGAATTCATATTTTTTTTATCAAATGTTCAAATGAGCTTTCAATATACCGGTATACTTTTGATTCAAAGAAAATATACATTATTAGTGAAGAATTTTGGTTTTGCAACATGCCTCCTATGTTCAAGTTCAACTACTTATATAACATACTGAGTATTTTGCATTTGTACACAAAAGTACTGAACATAGTTTTACTTCGTAGCAACGTGATTACATGTCCGTTGAAGAAGCCAGTAAAATCATATACACTAACGAGACTTGGAACCAGTATAAAGACATCCTAATGAGGAGGAAGGTGGAGTCGTTATTACGGAGGGACTAGACGCCATCTCACGGGGAGGGATCGATCCTCATAGCGGGAGGGGGTGAGGATCAGAGGGCCGCGACCTCAATATTCTGTGATACTGACTGTGCAATACAGTTCCAACATGGACACTGTTACAAATCCGTCCAATGGTGCTTTGTGCTGCCGACACGTGACTGAACGTGTTAAATCATACGACACGTGACCGAACCTGTCGAATCATAGTGCTAGTCATACTACTCACGTGTACATTAACCAACACAGTGCAGCTATATAGCGCATCTGTTATATTAATAAGACGTAACATGTCCCTGATATAAAGTTGATTTATTTTCTGTGATTAGAGTTTACAACGAAACATATTTTTTTAGGAAAACTTACAAAAAGACAGTTCCGAATGCATTAAATGTTGTTATCAGTATTATTCACCCATTGTCTGTACATTCCTACAATATCATTTGAAATTAAAAAATGTTTGAATTTGTATTTATTTATATGTTCATTTTTGGTAAAGTATCAATGGAATCCGGATCATACATGTGTATACGTATATAGTAAATATACCAAAAACATTCTGCTCAGAAGAAATTAGAAATATTAGGTGTTTCTAGGATATTGAATGATAATGAAAAAACTTTATAGGTTTAGTCAAACATAATGGAACTTTAAAACCAGGTTACATAAAATATTTTCAAATGGGGATATTACCCACCATAATTTAATTTGATTTTGAAGAGGCAAATTACCGGAGTAGAGCAACTTTATATAAAACTTTTTTGCGTGAGAATGTTAGCTGTCAATAATTGCCTCTCATTTTAGGTATGAATTATTCACACTGATGCGAAAATCAATTGATCGATTTCTTAGAAGATAATTGAATTGATCAATGAAGAACAGACACGAAATATTTCACCTACTTATGTATTTTTGCAAATGTGAAGTTTTTTTCATTCGTCGTAAATTTATGCCTCGTTTATTCATTATCTTAAGGGCAATTACAAAATGTTAGATTAAAAGGGAAGTCTAGCATGTCGGATAATCCATTTCCCACCATTAAAGTAGGCGGAATAAAAACATACATGTAACATCATGTCACAGAAGAAAAAAGTTACAGCCCCTGCGACAGAGTATTTAAATCAATAAAAACTCCCTGACAGAAAACAATTCATCCATAATTAAATGTTAGGGTAACAACCCGTAACTATGACCTAGAATCGCTGGGCAACACATCCTGTTACCCGCTCACATTGCAGATTTCTTCAGCTGTAATCAAAGGAACCCATGTCATTGGTAAGTACACGTAGTTCTTACATAAATAGAGGATACAAATGTATTTTTTACTTTCAAAAGTGAATGAGAATTGTTTAGAGTATTGAAAGGTTCACATAGCTTTCTTGTTGAATAAATTGTGAAATAGGCTGTGATTATTTGATAAAAATACATTGTTTTTATGATTTCTACAAAAGCGGTGAATTTGGCCTGTGAACAAATTTTGTCAACCTTACCATAATGCAATAAATATTTTATTTTCCAAGTTCTTTATTTTCATTAGTTAGTAAGTCAATATGAAATTATTGGTCATTAGCAGTAAACACTTAAAATGATGTTTCCTAAACCATGCAGGCTTTTTCAGCTACAAGTATCAAGCACAAGTTTGTATAGCATGAAAATTTCAAAGCGTCATGCGATGTGCGTAGGTTGAAGTATATCCGTACAAACTGGTTCCTTTCAGTCAACGAGTTTCCTCTACTATCTACTTTTTTCATCCTTTAGAAATTCCTGCCTAGAGAAGGATGAACCCGACTAACAGCACTGCCCCAGATAGTGAGAACATCTTTGAGAAATACCCGGATGTTTTGGTATTTCTAGTCGTTGGCTCTTCCATCATGGCGGTGTTTCTGGTCGGTGTCTTCGTGTTTCGTTGCCTGTCCGAGCCCGGGTCTACCCGCAGCAGACGAGTACTTCCACGGAATCTTACCAACAAAGTGGTTTGGGGGGTGGAGAGCTATCAGTCGAAGAGAATGATGTCACACGGGGTTAAAGTAAAAAGGAAAGACAAGATCTGAAGAGGTCAGCCCATTTACTGGTAATTTTGACCAAGAATAAATGTCAGGCATACATGTATATTACGGTGATAGAATTAATCTTTTTGAAAATTAAATTATATAAATCTGAACAGTAATAATTTACATGTATATGCAAATCATTGTAATCAATATCTTTCTTAGATGTATGCATGCCTTTGCCATTTAAAGATACAGTTTTTGAAATACATCAAAAATGTACCTGAAATCAGATTTTTTTGTTTTAGAAGGAAAACCATAGTGAAAATTGTAATGGTATGATGGTAAATCCCGAGCTAGAGCGATCGATGTAAAAGAAATATAGAATGTGAGTAACCAGGAGCCGAAGGTCATAGTTACATCCACTATAGTTATTGAATTCAGCATAACAATAGACATGTACCAAGTATACCATGCCCAGTAGGACTGATTTTTCATCTTCCCAAATTGATGAGAAATTATCATGCATGCACTGTTTCTATCTTGTTTGCAAGAACTTTCATCAAAATATGCCCAGTCACTGAACCGTTTCAAAACCTTTTTTTATGTGAAACAAGGGTTTACCAGTGGACATTATGTTGATTTGTTTTAGAGTTATTAAAAAAATTGAAATCTCTGCACAAACTTATTTGAGCATGAAGTTGATCATTTAAATGTTTTATATTGAAAGAAATTGAACAGTTTCAAAGAGATGTTCTAAATATGATTGAAAATAATTTCTGCGTTGCAAAGAAGAAGTAAAATGTGTATTATGATGCAACTATCTAATGCAATTTACCATCTTATACATGTATGCCAAATAATAAAGAGTTTGAAATATCCCCAATTCTTTTGTGTTTTTTTTTTAAATTTAATATTTAAATTATATTTACCGGTAATTACCTATACTAGGATAGTAATTTGGATGTGATGCCCTCTTTTGCTACTTTTTATTTATGAAACACGTTTTTTTTAATACAAAATTCTAGTTTTGCGGGTAATGCACACACGTTTTATGAATGACTCTAATTGTTGGCCAAATTATTCGAGTTTTGGTAATCAGCGAAGAAAGATGGTCTTGTCACTGTAAGTAAAAACACGCCTTAAGCTAATTTATTTTTAGTATCTGCTTTCACAAATGAAAGGATGCGTCTCTGAACAGCTCACGTCTCCCCACTGATACCCGGCGTCAGGGTACTGCATCAGTAAACAGTCCTGGTTACTACCTACGTTGTTTGGTTGCCCAGGATACCAGTTGCTATAGGTTACGGACGATGGCGACCCTCCATCTGTCCAGACAAAGTGATTTTCTGAGTTTTCATCATTTCCAGAAATATAAAATCCACTCTGTCCCGCTGTCATCAAACCTATTTGGTAAAAAGGAGACGAATACTTAAAGTGAAAAAAACAGGCAAAATACCAAGATGTAAGATAAGGTGTCGAAACAAGACATCACAAAAATTCTGTTTCTGCCATTTCTCAGTAGGATTGACATTGAAAATTTTTATACTGTCACCAAACTGATAATGTACTAATTTATCTCCTTCAACATTTATAAGAAGGATATGGAGATAACGAACACTATTCAATCTCAAAGTCCATAAAACAATACAAAATAGGAGCAGAGAAAACATGGACCTCCGACACATCAGAGGTGAGATCAGGTGCCATGGAGGAGTAAACATCCCATGCTGACCGGTCAAACCCGCCGTGTGCTCCTTGTCATGATGGGAAATAACGGCAAAATCCGTCGTCAATTCAGTGTATAAATAATGGACATCATAAATAGAAGTCATCATTTCGTAATTTCTATGGTCGATGCAATGACCTTGTCAGCAAATACAATTTATTATTGAGTCAAATGCTGACTGACGTTTTCATACTAATTGTTAGTATAAATAATGGACTAACAATTAGTATGAAAACGTCAGTCAGCATTTGGTTCAATAATAAATTGTATTTGCTGACAAGGTCATTGCATCGACCATAGAAATTACGAAATGATGACTTTAAACGAGACTGCTGATATTCTTGTTTCATCAATTTGCTTGTCAATAATTTACCTCGTTTTAGAAATTGTTCATACGTAGAGCATGTTCTTGCGTATCGAATCAACTGAGATATACCCGGTATACACTCCGTATGCAGGTGATGAGGAATATTGCTTCATAAGTAAGGGAAGTTGGCGATAGAAAAGTTAGACCGAGACATCATGTTTATCATAGAGCTTGGTTGTTAGATTACCATTAACATCTTTTCAAGTAAAATATCCAAGTATGAAACAGATGTGTCAGACTCTGTGGTATCTTTTATCTCAAGCTCACCAGGACATGTCGTATCTACGTAGGAATGGAAATTACCATTGTTAATTGACAATACGTCGTCGATATATCTAAATATTGAAGCAACTTTGCTCCATACCTTTAACCAACAGAATTAGAGTAACCAGGTAATTCTACTCCATACTTAAGATGAATTCTGGCAGATAATTTTGCTCCATACCTATATCCGACAGAATTAGATTACTTACTTACTTACTCAGGGCTGTCGTTCAGTGAGGAACATAGGCCACCGACGACAGTCCTCCAATGAACTCAATTCTGGGTTGCTTTTGCTGCGTCCTGCCAGGTTATATTCTTTGTCTTTAAATCTGACTTCGAGTCACGCCTCCTGGTGTTTCGTGGACGTCCTCTCTTTCTTTTGCCCTGTGGGTTCGAAGTCAGGGCCTGACGTGTGATGCTAGATGATGACTTCCTTAGCGTGTGTCCAATCCAGCTTCACTCTGTCTTATTTGTACGTCCATTGGTTCCTGTCCTGCTCTCTTTCATAGTTCTTCGTTCAAGATCCTTTCAGGCCATCGGTGATGTAAAATGTCTGGATCTTCTGCAGGGTTGTTTTGGTCAACCTTCACTTCTTTGCACCGTACAATAGGACGGACTTTACATTTGGGTTGAGGATCCGAAGTCTGGTGGTAATACGTATGTTCTTTGAGGCCCAGATGTTCTTTAACATGGTAAATGCAGTTCTTGCCTTGTCAACTCTTAACTTCCGGTCTGTGCCACCTTTCTGTCCACCACACTCCCAGGTAGATGAAGGACTCAGCTTCTTTGATGGGCTCACCACCAACTATGTCTGGTGTTTGGACAGTGGTGTTTTTCTTCGTCAATTCTGTTTTCTTCAATTTAATTTTGAGGCCCGTTCCTGATGATGTTGTTGCAGTGCGAGTTGTTTTATCCTGCATCTGACTTTGGCTGTGTGAAAGGAGAGCGAGGTCATCAGAAAAAATCAAGATCGTCCAGTTGCTTCAGGAGTGTCCACTGTATACCGTTGTTCCACCCTGATGTGGTAGACCTCATGATCCAATCAATGACCAAGAGAAAAAGAAATGGTGACAATAAGCATCTTTGTCGAACTCCTGTCTTGACCTCGAAACTCTCAGACATCTGCCAGCATGGGCAAACCTGCATATCATGCCTTGGTAGGAGTTTCGAATCAGGGAGACTAGCTTCTCTTGTGCTCCATAGTGCCTCAGTATCCTCCACAATGTTTCTCGGCACACACTGTCGAATGCTGTCAGAAGTGTTCTACCAACCTCTTCAATTGTTTTTCTGTTGTTGTGAGAGGTTTCCCGTTCTTGTCCTTCAATGGCTTGTCTGTTTGCTGGAACTTGTTGGAGAGCTTCTTTGTGATCATATACAGTTTTTTTTAAGTTTCCTTGTCTGGACAGGTTGTCGATGTAATGCCGTATATCTTTTTCAACTTTTTTCCTTGGCTTTTTTTCACAACGTTTTTATCTGTGGCTGTGTAGTCCTCTTGAGCTTTTGCCTTTGCTTTTCTTGTCCTGCTTGATCATCTCAACATGGTTTCACCAGAGATTCATTCCTTGTTCCGAGTCTTTCTTCTGCCTAGGACTTCCTCAAATGTGCCTTGCCACATTTCTAAGATCTGCTTCCATTGGATCTCTATGTTGGTATAATTGTTTTCTTGCTGGTCTTGTAGAAGCTGGAATCTATTTGATAAGCTGAGATGGAATGCTGTCTTCATTTCCTTTGTTTTGAGGGCACTCACATTGTACCTTGTCCTCCTGTTTGTCATGTTGTTGAACTTCTTGAGGCGTAGTCTTAATACAGTCACCAGCAGATGGTATTCTGATAAAATGTCTGCATCTCTCATCACCCTGACATCTTACCACGCTAGTCTAAATTTCTTGTTGATGCAGGTATGGTCGATCTGATTCTCTGTAACATGGTCATGGGATCTCCATATGGCCTTGTGAATCTTTTTATGAGGAAAGATGCTTCTTCCTATTACCAGCTAATTTAGTGAGCATAGGTCTACAAATCTCTCACCCTTGTCGTTCATATAGTCCAGTCCTTGTGTACCAGTGTTGTCAGTTCCAATCTTGGCATCAAAGTCGCCCATGAGTATTACCATGTCTTTCTTCCTTGCTTTATCTAAGACTGCCTGTAGTTGCTGGTAAAAGGCGTCTTTCTTTTGTAGAATAAGATCAACCAGGTTATATTTTGCTCCATTCATATACCCGACAGAACAAGATTAACCAGGTAATTTTGTTCCATACGTATATTAGACTTGATCGGTTAGTTTTGTTCTATACTTATATCAGACTGGATAAATTTGACCAGGTAGTCTTGTTCTGTACGTATATCATACACCTAGTAGTGTATCAGCCCTGATACATGCGTTTTGGACTAGCTGAGACAGCATCTGTGAAGTAGAACTACCTCGCCTTCAGGGCTGAGATATCGCTGTCTCGACCCAGTGTTAAGGGGTTGTCTCGCCCTCAAGTTTGAACCCAGTATTTCTGTTTAATTTTTGTAAATTATCGTATTTGAATTAGTTTTGTTCCATACCTATATCAGACTGGATGAGATTAACCAGGTAATCATGTTCAATTTGGTCTGTTACTGAGGCAAGATGGCTGCCGTAAGATTCCTTCTTGCATTCATCAATTGCATTATACCAAGACATCGGTGTGGTGTGAAATGTATAACATGATGTAGTGTTGTCAGTATTTACGTGTGTGTACGAGTTTGGAGGGCAAATTGGTACGTCTGCGAAAAGACCACAGCATAAAATGTACAAAGACCACAGCATAAAATGTACATAGTATGTTTTTATAATTCATACTTCTTTATGAAAAAATGTAGAAATACCAGAGGTGCTACGCTACATAAGTTTTGGAGAAAAACGACGTTTTGACCTTTTTCTTGTATTTCTAGATGTGCATAATTTTATATTTGTATATGTTTTTTTAATTAAAAATACAATTGCATTTAATGAATTATAAAAACAAATGCAGTAAATACCTTGACAAGTTGTGTTATAGATGTACACGTCATCAATGGCGACGTTTCCATTTTCATTATCATATAACTTTGAACTCGACCCATGTGAGCTGTAGGAGTATCGGTAGTGAGCGTTCGTACTACCCTCAAACACAACCTAAATACAACTGTTAATTGTAGTCTCATTCTCTCGGGAAGAAAAGGGAAATATAAATCTATACAGACATTTTTATCCGTCATTATAGAATTTAAATCCACGTCTTAGTAATTTTTCTTGAGAATGCAAAGACTTGCAGAATAAAAATTATCAACATACAACATATCTCTGCTGATGTATTTGAAAATATTCTTGGATGAGAATTAGAAAATTTCTCATTTAACCAACATTCAACTTATATAATTTTATATTTTTACATTTTTCATGTGGATATGAAACTTATTTATGTCAGCTTGCAAGAATATCTGACTGTTACTTTGTTGGTTATCATTATAGATGGTACAGACTTTATGGCTGGGGTTAATTTGGTTGTGTTATGGAAAGAAAAAGTTCTGTGTGAGGTTTAAATAAATTTAATTTTGACATAACATACACGTACAAAATATACATGCCGATATAAAAAAAGATGTTGGATGTTTACCTATATATTATTAAAGACCAGAAATATCCCACCATATCTATTTTAAAAAATGCGAATTTAACTTTGCATTATTTATTCTCAGAAAAAGTATAAATTTATCACATTATATTATTTCAGAAATAAACCAGATATATGTAACTACTAGTACTAGTATCTCAAAGAAAGATGACCTGGAGCTTGCTGGCAGTGTACTCAGAACCTATTTCCACTTCCTCTAGCTTCCAATCCACACTGTTAACTGGCTGGATAACTTTAATCGGATTCCCCAGACCACCGCCTACCTAACATAATGTAAAATAATTCTTCAGATTCAGTTAATCACTGCAAATTTACATTTTACAAATGTTTAAATATACATACCTTGGCATAAACCTTTAGTGGTTTTACGTCAGTTCCATGCATGTTATACCAAAAGCGAATACAGTAGTGCTGCGCAGGTTCAAAGGTCGGTGACAGTAGGCGATAAGTATGTGTTGTTGATGAAGAGGAGTGCTGCGAAATGTAATTGGCGTCGATAGCCATGTAGTGACCTTAAAAGAGGACATCTCAGGAATAAAATTACAACTTCAAAACATCCTAGGCAACTTAAAATCATGTCACTTCTAAAAATAGACAAGTTTACTATAAGAGATATTTATATACAGTGCATCCCCATAGTGCCTCTTATTTGTATCAGTGTCAGTTTAGAATTAAAGATATTATGATAAAATGCACGAATCATTCCTATAGTGCCTCTTAGATCTATTTGTATTGGATCACCTGATGAAGTTTCGTAGGTGTGGTCCATGTTGGGTCCTGTTGATGAATAAAGGTGACCACTCTGTTTCGTCCAGAGCATTCTCGTGCTGGAATCAGTCTCCGCGTGGAAGGTACACATGGAACCTTGGTAATTCTCAAAGCCACAGTAGAATGTCGAGTACCCTGAATACACTACACAAATGGAAACAAATTCAATGATCAAAATGAATGGTATTTTGACTGGCCTTTTCATACAAATTGTTAAACTTTTGTCTTTATACAAAATTTGAATGTTCTGTCTACTTGATCAATACACAGGGTTCACTGTGGTTGTAACAGGTTGTTCTTGCTTAATATAATATGCCTTGTTTACAGATTCAAATATTTTGTCTGTAGTTTTTATGATAGATAACTTTTTATTTTCTTCAACCTCTACAAATTACTATCATAAGTATTGTCATTTTCCTTCACATTCAATTAATGTCTTTTTTGTTGAGGGATATTACGAAAATTGTCCAAATTCTTCATATACAGTGTTCGATGATTACCTTGAGGTGGGGTCGTTGGCAGACCGGCGTTCCCCTGACAAGTTGAGAGCTGTCTGGAGGCGTTGATCAGTTGTTGACGGAGGCTATCCAGCTCAGTCTTGGCTGACAATAGAACGTGAGCTAGTTCCTCTTTAGACTGGTTCAGCATTTTCTCTTTACTGTTGAGGGACACCAGTAGCTCCGCGGCATGCTGCTGTTCTGCGTGGAGTAAATCTTGTGTTTGTGTAAGCTCGGATCTGGAGATGTTCATTTCACTGTATAACTTATCAACCGCCCGTTGGAGATCCGACACTGTCGTCCGTAATGACGTTACGTCACTACCTACTTTGTGGATATCGTCACAGGAACAGCCATCAGAACTAGAATGTGATACTTGATCAGATCCTCCAGCCGCATCACATGTCTGCGCATGCCCGAGTTTGACGTTATAGATACATTGTCCATTGGAAAAACTGCACCCGGGTTGGAATTGTGATTTGATACATCCAACAAAAAGCAAGCAAGACCCAACAAGAGTTAACAGCCGCATTGTGATAACTTATGCCGATAAAACTGGTCCCCGTTATCATAAGTCGTACTTGTCAATTTCTTATCTATTGGGAGTCGCGTGTTTGCAGAAACTTTTTGAAGATTTTTCTCTTTCAACAAGTTATTTTTCGTCTTCTATATCTCATCTCAAAATAAAATGCATGCCGACACATTTGCCAAACTCTTTCAAATCGCAGTATCTTTATGTAGACAAATAATAAATTAATTCACTTTACACTGTGTTTATTCAATTTATGTTATCATGAGAGCAATAGAGAATCTTATACGGAAAGCACTGAGGTCAAAGGAACTTATCTCTACATATAGTAGATGTTATCAATATGAAGAACAGCATATTAGTATTGTTCATTTTACACCTTGTTTGTACCGGAGACTGTGCGACATCTAGCTGTGCCTTTGGTGGATCATGTCTGTACAATATCAATGTGCATCACTGTGATGGAAGTCCAAAAAGGTCATTGATCAGTAACGGAAATCGCCAAAGCTGTCCATGTAGTGACGTAATTTCAGTTAAAAATGAATTTCAGAATGTTTCTACTTGGGTGAAAACCATCAACAGTACTTTCCAAAGCGTGCAAATTGACTTAATTGGAGTAAAAACCGAACTAAATGAGAAATTAGTGGAACTTACAGCCACTCGCGAAAGAAATATAAAAAGCAATGCCACAGTTACAAAGTATGTTTTGGACATGCAGAAGACGGAGAAAGCAATAACAACAGAAAGACAGAACTGGTTCAAAGAAAGGGACCGTCTGCAAAATGAACTCCATAAACTCAGCAGGGAATCTCAGATTTGTAGACAGGTGTCTGGTTCCTCAGCTACGTCACATCAAGGTAAATACACACGCTTTAATATCTCAAAGATGAAAACTGATGCAAATAATTATAAATGGTTATGGTTTAATATAAGGTTCATCCGCCGCTGCATCAACTGTCCTTTTCTGTGACTTTGAAACATCAAGTCAGTGTGGATTTGTCCAGGATCATTCAGATGACTTGGACTGGTCGTACGGCCATGGGACGCAGTCGTCAACAACAGGACCAAAGCAGGACCACACCTACGGAAGTCCTCACGGTGAGATAGAATCTAAATCACGTATGTAACTCAAAATTCTCCGATTTGATATAGATATCAGATGCTTGTTCTTTACATTAACAGATGTTCAATATATTTGTCAGTCAGACCCAGTCTTAAATCTCTAACAATAACCTTTTATAGGACACTACATGTTTCTGGATGCTTACAATCATGCTACAAGTCACTCACATGCATCAACCTCCACAACTAGATTTATCTCCCCCGAACTTCCATCTTCTCATGGGTATTGTATCCTGTTCTGGTACAATCTTCATGGGAACGATGTGAAAGAACTGAATGTGTACGCTAAGGTTTGATATGCTTTTTTGGCTCCGTATTCACAATATATATGTACACTTCGTATATTTCATTGTATCCCTGTTTCTTTCTATGTAATGTGCATCTCTTTTTCTTTTTCTGTTGCTTAACGTATGCAAAATTTAGATATCTTGATTTAAAAAGTGTCTGATTTGTAAGTTTATTTTGCTGTTGTCAGATTCACGGAGGTCTAGGATACCCAGTATTCTCTCGTACAGGGGGGCTCGGCCAGGAGTGGCGTCTAGGAAAAATCTATTTAGACCCGGAATACACCGCCTCTCCTCTCAATGTAAGACACATCTCAATGTAAAGATTCTTTATCATAGAACTTTTGTGTTTTATTAAATTTCACGTGATTCTGATTTAGTTTTATGCTGAAACAATGTTTGATACTATATTATTTTTGTTAGTTGGTCTTTGAGGCCAAAACAGACAGTTACAAGCAATATCACTACAGCTCTGGATACACCTACCATAAAAGAAACGGCGATATAGCAATAGATGACATCTACGTCTTCAACTCTACCTGCAAGAGTAAGTGTTGAGATACTTCTTATGCGAATTTTGATTACCTCTGTTGTAATACATGCACTATTTAAGTTTACCTTTTCGTTTTAACTTGAATGTTGATTTTAGGTTTACTTTAGTTTACCTACCAAGGTTTAATTTAAGTTTAAATGTCGAGTTATCTCGTATTTCAGATCTAAAAGTTTTGATTTTCTTTTAAAGTACATGTGGAGAATTACTTTGTATTAGTGTTCAGTACTTCTATTAGTGGAAGTATTAACATTTTCTTATGGTTCAAATTTTAAAAAATTCAAAAGTAAAGTTTTTTTTCCCAAATTTTGAATTGATAACGAGTAATTTAGTGTTAAAGGTTTATTTTTACAATTTAGTAATGTCAGGAGACTGTCTTACTTTGTTGCACTTTTCGGTGCACTTTTATTGTAAATGTTAAGGGCTTACTGTTGGGGTGTACACGTATGTTCAGATAGTTTAAGGATTGACGTTCGCTATCGATTTACTTCTAGTGTGATATGGAGGTTTACTTCAGCTGTTGTTAGAATCGTATTCTTTAAGTTGTAGTGTAAATTGTAAACAAAATGGATAAAAGTGCTATTACCTTGTTGACGTAATCCATTGATTATTTTTGTATTGTTTAAGGCATTCCTAAGTACCCATCAAACTCCCATACAAGGGTGACGGCTAACACTACAAGCTACTATACATTCCATACAACACCCAGCACGTGGTACGAGGCTCAGACAGCCTGTAGGAAGGAGAATCCTTACTCTCACCTGGTCTCCGTCAGATCCAAACAGGAACAAGACTTCATCGTCAACATCATCAAACAAACAGAAGGTCAAAACTCAATATACCTACAGTTCTGGAATAGAGGCATTGTCTTTCGATATTTTGCTTTTTGTGTTTTAAATGTGGTGCAGATTTTTTTGTGTAAGAAAGTGCGTTTTATAAACACCATATATACATGTTTTGACTGAGATTCCATTATTGTCTATGGGTACAAAAAACTGACAAAATGGGGTTTTTTTGTTATCAATTGAATAAACATACATACAATTTCCCCTTATTTGGGTATTTTCTTTGAAGTATATCATTTGACTTTCTTTGCAGATTTGACTGCTGCTGCAAGCAATGGTTTTTACACAAGTGGGACAGATGACAGATCAGAGGGCATATTTGAATGGACGGACACCGGAACTCCATATCCAGTTACCTATAGCAACTGGCAGCCCGGGCAACCAAACAACGTGGGTAGTAACCAGGACTGTCTTCTGCTGCAGTATCCCGATAACGACTGGTCCTGGGGCGATGTCAACTGTGCTGACAAGCATCCGTTTATTTGTGAAATAAATCAAACTCTGCCTTAAAACATTTTATAATCTTGTTTATCTATACGATCAATATAATTGCCATGCTGCAAGCCTATCTTGAATCAGATAACGAAACCTATGTACAATGAGATGCATGTATATTATACCTTATTTTAGAACAAAATCACATACCACTTTCAAACGTTTATAATAACAAAAGAACATTCAACAAGAGGGTATCTGAGTTACCGCACCTCTATTGGATTCACAGCTTCATAAGCATCCTTTTAAACAAGGATACACTGTACATTGACAGTTCCAGTAAATGTTCCACCAAGTCCTCACAAAAACGTTTACTGTTATCAGAAACGTCATACACTTTATGTTTAACAATCGCGTATGAAAAGAATGAGGGGCAATATGAAAACCATCTATCCTTCTGTATTCAACAATCTAGAAGTGAGAAAAAACAATTAGATTACATGATCAGTATGATCTGATCCCTGCTGACAAAACAGGTAACAACATTGTCTTCGTTTGTAAGGCTCATTATATCAATTGTGTTTCAGAACTTTTAATTTAATTCTGCAAACGACAATCCAACCTCTTCCCTTTCTAAGGAAAAAAATCTTCAAAATCATATGTCAGTTTTGAATATTTTTAAGATCCCAAAGAGCCAAAATGAATTTGAAGTACTATATCTATATTGGATTCCGAAACTTTGTAAAAATCGTTACAAAGATACATAGCGAGTTCCAGTAAATGCTCTACCAAGCATCTTTCTTTACTCATCATTTAGATAATTACAGTAGTGAAGGAGAAACTTCAAGAGTACTGTGCAACAATATATTCAAGAAGTGCTGTAAATTAGATGTGGATACTTAAAAATTTTTTTTTGGACAATTTGAAATCACAAGATTTACCAATTACAAAATCTACAGCTTAAAAACTTGCGACTTTTCAACATTATACACAACCATTCTCCACAATAAATTAAAGTCCGTGCTTTTTGATATCATTGACAGCTGCTTTTTAAAAACAAATGTACCTCGTAAATTTACTTTTCTGTCATTGGTCATTTGCAAAATTATTTTGTTAAAAAACATTCTGATTGTGTATACACAAATACTCTGAAGTTGACATTAAAAAGTTCCTTGAGTTTCTGATTGACAATATCTATGTGGTTTTTTGGAGACCAGGTCTTCCAACAATCTATTGGAATTCCCACGGGTACCAATTGCGCCCCGTTATTAGCAGACCTATTAAGCTATTCATATGTTAGACCGGTCGGCAGGGGATGCCCACTCCTCCATGGCACCTGATCCCACCTCCGATGTATTGGAGGTCTGTGTTTGCTCTGCTCCTATTTTGTATTGTTTAAGGGACTGTTGATCTTGAATAATATTCGTTATCTCCATATATTTTATGAAGCAGAATTTGTCAAAAATCTTATACGTGAAAAGAAGACACATTTGTTGTGGCCTTCAACTCGACATCTAGTTATATCGAGGACATATTGTCAATTAACAATGGTAATTTCCATTCTTATGCCGATACGATATGTCCCGGTGTGCTTGAGATAAAAGATACCACAGTCTGATACATCTGTTTCATATTAGGATATTTTACTTGAAAAAGACGTTAATGGTAATTTAACAACCAAGCTCTATGATAAACGTGATGTCTTTAACTTTACAATCGTCAACTTCCCTTACTTATTCAGCAATATATCTCATCGCCTTCATACCGTGTTTATATATCTCAATTGATTCGATACGCAAGCGCACGCTCTACAATTTATAAAACGAGTTAAATTATTGACAAACAAGTTAATGAAAAAAGAATTTCAGCTGTCTCGTTTAAAGTCATCATTTCATAAGTTCTATGGTCGATTCAATGACCTTGTCAGCAAATTTATCATTGATTTAAATGCTGACTGACGTTTTTCATACTTATTGCTAGTCCATTATTAAAACACTGAATAGTACTGCCCATGTCGCAGTAGATGCTGGCACGAAAAAGATCCCTCCCTGTTCAATGGCCCTTAGTGCGGAGAATAGGACAAAATTCGCAGCTCTCCACCGGCAAGTGATGGCGTCTCCATATGAGTGAAATTTCTCGAGAAGGACGTTAAACAATAAACAATCAATCAATCATTCTAATTGTTAGTTCGAAATATCTGACGTTTTCCAGGCTTTTTAACGATTTTGATATCTTACGTGCCAGGAAAACGTCAGAACCAACGCCATTACGAAACCTGAAAAATTTCGCCGTCTTCAACCGGAGTTGATTTTAAAAACTTGTGAACCGAACTAAATGCCGAAATCAGAATGGATCTCAAGCACAATGCCTATAGCACTCATCAATGTTAATGAAAAGAAAATATCACCCCACATTTCGTTACATAACTTGCAATATTTTAAAATGCAGGAAATGTTAACAAATCTCATCAGTCTGATAAAATGTTTTCAACGGATTGTATAATATAATTATTTTATAATTGAACCATAGAAACAAAATAGGTAAGTACTCAAGGTATTGTACTATTTATAACTTGTGACTTTAAAATGTTTGTAAGTATCTAAAATCAACTCGAGAATGCCGCCTCCGGTTGGAGGCAGCGAATTCCCAGTTTTCGTAATGGCGCCGGTGTAACGTTGAATTTTTTGAAAAACCCGGGGGTCATTTTTCAACGTTGAATAGTGAGACCAAAGGTGTTGAATTTAGACCCTAGTCCGTTGAAAACTGAGCCGGGTCATGGAATTTTGATCATGAAACCGGTTCAAAATTCAACAGCATAACACATATTTATGACTTGGTTTTCACAACTGTGATTTAATTCATAGGCGTTGGTACAGGGGAGGGGGGTTAGGGATGTTTACCCTTTTTTTTTGGGAAAGATAGACATAATATAGGCATCGAACAATATGAAATTAGATTAGTTTCCCCCTGCTTTCAACAGGCACGTTACAGTAAGTGGTAGTGTTTAAAAAACAGATATTGGATCCACCTCCCCACCCCCCCCCCCCCCCCCCAATATATTTTTTTTCTTGTCAGCTTTTTTTTTTAGATTTGAATTTTTCTTTCTTTTTCAATTAGCCCCTCCCCCCCCCCCCCAGCACTTTCAATTTGCTTCCGACACCAATGTAATCAATGCATACTTAATTCTGTAGTTCAGTTATATTCTTAGAGTGAAATATTTAAAAAAAATATCTTAGATTTCAAAGTTACATGTAGCTTAATATTGCAATATTTCGTGTAATATTTATTTAAAAAGAAGTATATATTTGTATATGTAAATCCAGAATATTAGTAAACATAGTTAAACAATATAAAATTTAGTTCATAAATGTGTTTATTTATAATTTTTTTTTTTTTGCTAACAACACTTCATTTATTTTAATTTTAAAATTCCTAATATTAATATTTGGAAAATGGTGAGAGTTTATGATGCACGTGCTTATTTAGTTATTAGTTATGCACAACATTAATAACTTATAATGTCCAACTTGAAAAACGGATTTTTTTTTTCAAAATATTCAAAAGGTTAAGTGATCTTTTTCGCATAGTTAATCAAACAGTTCAAGAACGAACCTCACAATCAATACATATATTTATTTTGTTAAGTACAGGATGTAAAAGGTGGGTTATCTCCCCTTTTTGGGATTAGTTTTGGTTTTTGTTTTATTTATTTTATTTCATTTTTTGTTCTGTTTTATTGTTTTTGTATTTGTGACTGGACTGTTTTCTTCATTTTTGTAGTTCTTTTAATAAAAAAAAAATTGCCTTAGATACACAACCCTAACTTTCAGCGTTATTTAATATTAATAAATTTTATAATAAAGTAGCCAAAATAAAACATTGACCCCCCCCCCCCGAATCGCGGAAACACAGGATAGTTTGTGAGGAATTTTTGAAGCGGCCCTTCCATCCATTTGGAGAAACATGGTTTGGTTTTCAACATTGGCTAGTTTCCCTTTCCATTTTTTTGTTTGCTTGTTTGTTTATTCGTTTCGTTTATTTATTTTTGTGACACCATACCCCCGCCTCCGAGAAAAAACTTTAGGATCCTATCTCTCTCTCTCTGTTTCTTTGAAGAGGAATGCACTTTTTAGTTGTTAAGATCAAATGCAGTTGCAGGGACGGCGTATTTTTAATTGTTGATATCAAAGATGGTGGGAAATGCGTCCGTGTAACACTTAGCAATTCAAATTTCTAAAACGATTTAGAGTTTTAGAATGTTAATATATTAGTTCAAATATCTAACTTTCAAAAACTGATTTGATATAATGAAATTTAATATTTAAGTTTAAAAAATCTAAATTTTCCAATTTCGAAATAGGTTTTAAAATTTTGATATTTTAGATTTTTACCTTAAATTTTCAAAATTCAAATTACCAAAAACGATTAATGGAATTTAAACGTTTGAGTTTTTAGTCTACCGTTTGTTCAGAAAGTTTACACTTAACAATCTAAAGTTCGGTAATATTTTTCGTCTTTCAATTATTTGAAAATTAGCTCCAACTTCTAAAATCCAACTTTGAGACGTTTAAGATTTTCAAAATTTTGGAATTTTGGTTCAAATGTTCAGATTTCTAATAATTTAACACTTTGAGTTTTTAGAATTTTACTTTGAATATCCAAAATTTAAACCAGGTGTAGAATTTCATATTTTGGACATTTGAAGTAAACTTCTAAAAACTCAAAATGCACAAACGTGTTTTGGTTATTCAAAAGTTGAGTTTGAAATCAAAATTCTAAATTTTTAAAAATCTAAATCGTTTGAAAGTTGGAAGTTTGAAGTAAATTTTAAATAATCAAATGACGAAAACGTTATCGAATTTTAGATTGTTAAGCGTAAACTTTCTGAACAAACGGTAGATTAAAAACTCAAAAGTTTAAAATACAAAATGTGTTTTTGGAAATTTGAATTTGAATATATAAGGTATAAATCTTAAAACTCAAAATGTTAAACCTGTTTGGAAAATTGAAATATTAGATTTTTGAAGTAAAATATTAAAATTCTCATTCTAAAACTCTACATCGTTTTAGAAATTTG